CGTTACGTTACGTTACGTTACGTTACGTTACGTTACGTTACTTACGTTACGTTACGTTACGTTACTTACTTACTACTTACTCTACTCTACTCTCTCTCTCTCTCTCTCTCTCTCTCTCTCTCTCTCTCTCTCTCTCTCTCTCTCTCTCTCTCTCTCTCTCTCTCTCTCTCTCTTGCAAAAAGCAGAAATCATTCTCCACAGACGAGGACGACATGAGAGTGATGAATGCACTATCTCATGGGGTTGAATTTACATGGATGCTTTCATTTGTTAGCATGGATGCTTTCATTTGTTAGTATTTGAGGTTCCAAAATTAGGAAATAAAACAAAACAAAATAACTTAAAATTTTGATATTGTCTTCAAAAGAGATAAAATGAAGAACTTATTGGTCGTTGGGATCTGAGATTCAACCAAATTACTAGTAAAATTTCAACCAAATCAGCCAAAAATAAAAAATAAAAAATAAAAAAACTTAGCCTAAAAAAATGATAGTAATAACTTCCATTTATTTTCTGGGGATTCAAATATGGGAAAGGAAAAGTTTAAGTCCTGGGCTTTACGTAAAATGAGCCGTCGTTCAAAAAGCCTGCCAAAAAATGCAATCAAAATAATCATCTCGACCTCAAAATTTATGGATTTGAAAAAAATAGCCTTTGAAATATTGTATTTTGTTATCTATTGGTTAGACTTATTCCTTTACAAATGTGTTTGATCTATATTTATTTTTGGAGCTTCAAATTCCATATCAGGGGTGAGAATAGATCTGAAGGCCTATTGCAGCCTCGAATCAAAACTAGACCAGACCGACTTATCTTAATACCAATTATTGTTATGGCTGGTTTGATACTAAGCAAAAATTGGGTTTGGTTGAAAACTGAAATTTTGCTAGTTTTGGCTAGTGAATCGGCAGGTTTTGTACAATTCAACTAACTAAACAAAGGTGGGCACTATATTTTTACTAGATAAATATTTTAAAATTATTTTTTATATTTTTGTATTTTAAAAGTTAGGTTTAATTTACGATTCTACCATATTTGATTAGACCGAACCGCTCACCAATTTTATAATATTGTAATGTTCGTGATGAGGTTTTTAAGTCCAATTTAGTTTTTTATCGTGCAACCGAGATTTGGTTATTATTTGATTGATGGGTGCAGTTGGCATACTGATGCATCCGTAGCTGTAGAGGTAAGGTGCGCCTTCAAATTTTATCATGGTATATAATTTTGATGTAAAATGTTCTTAGGATTATCTCAAAATCTATTTTTATATCTAATTATAAAATTTTAAATTTAAAAAATGGTTAAAATCAAGTAGATCTATAAACATATGAAAATCTTGAAAATGGACGGTGTAGATAATATGTTGTAAAATGCACTATTCTGAAATTTAAAATCTTTCTTTTTGTGGTCATACATCTCGATGTTTAGATGATCAATCAAAAGGTTTTTCAACATTAAAACTACTTTTTTCGAATGGATTTTTGTCTAGATGATCAATCAAATAGTTTTTCAACATTAAAACTACCTTCTTTTCAATGGATTTTTAGGTGCATCCGTAATTCTACATTATAAGGTTGCATCCTTATATAAACTTTTTCCTTATTCGTTTGGCTAGCCGAAAGTGCATATGAAAAAGCGGTGAAAAGCTTGTTGGTAGGGGGACGGTGCACAATACTTTTTTTTGGATGAAAAATGACCAAAGAACCCTCAAATACATTTAAGACTTTCTCAAAAAACCCAAAAAAAATTCCTAAAATACCTATAAATTTTATTTAAATTATAGGGAAAATGATTTTCCAATAATTTATCATAATTTTACAATAAATTAGAATATAATAAAAACTTTTTCAGAAAAAGTATTTTGTCCGCATCATGTGGACTGTTGAAAGGGTGCACAACCCTGCAATGGTTGAAATTTCACAAGGCAAAATTTACTAGCTAAAAGTTACTTTAATGTTTTATTTTTATTTTTATTTTATTTTTATTTGAATATTTTATTTATCTAAAATTGGATATATAAATTCCTTTTTATAAAGAGGACTAAATAAAAAAATAAAAATAATTTAAATAACATTTATCAAATTTTCTTAATTATATTTTGGTCAATATTTTTTGTTCAAAATATTTTTATTATTTTTATAATATAAAATTAAAACTCAAATTTCAGAAAATATAATTTTTAAATTAAAATTTAAAATAAAATAAAAATAAAATTTGACCCCTAGATGAGGCTAAGTTTAATATGAACCATGAAAAGGTTCTCGTGTACATGCAGTGGACCCAATACTAGCCTAATTTTTAAAGGGTGCAGTTTGCATACAGATGCATATGTAGAGCTAGGTGCGCCTTCAAATTTTATCATGGTATATAATTTTGATGTAAAATGTTCTGAGGATTATCTCAAAATCTATTTTTATATCTAATTATAAAATTTAAAATTTTAAAAATGGTTAAAATCTAGTAGATCCATAAACATATGAAAATCTTGAAAATAGACGGTGTAGATAATATTTTATAAAATGCACTATTTTTGAGACTTAAAATCTTTTTATTTTTCATAGTCATACATCTCTATGGCGAGATGATCAATCAAAGGGCTTTTCAACATTAAAACTACCTTTTCCGATGGATTTTTTAGAGGCATTCGTAGTTCTACATTATAAGGTAGCATCCTTATATAAACTTTTTCCATTTTTAAAAGAACACAAAGAAATTTGCTTCTTAAACTCCCCACAAGTGAAGCAGGCAGTAATAAATTTGGTTAGCAGGATTTATGCCTTTTGTGTAGGGTCTGTGAGTTGCATGAGGAGTTCATTCCTGATTTCTCTCTTTACAAGCAATCAAAACCCTCCATCATCTCTCTCCCTTAATAGTATACCATTCCTGATTTCTCTCTTTACAAGCAATCAAAGCCCTCCATCATCTCTCTCCCTTAATAGTATACAGATATATCGTGTCTAAATGACCAATTTTCCACAAATACATATATTTATTATTTTAAAAATATAAATATCTACGTTTAACCGCAATCCACCTCTCAAAAATTTAAAGCTCCTTCTAGAGAAAAATCCCTATCTAATATGAACCCTATATAATTGTACATGTTAACTCCGCATCCGCATTTCAAATTTGCATTTTATATTCATACCCATTTTTGGCTCTCGAAATCCCTATTGGTCTTGACACACTAAAGTTTTATGTCTTTGAGAATTAGTAGTCGGCTGGAAATTGTGATTCAAAATTCGCCAATCTAGATTGGGAATCAACTCCACCGATCTGATTCCTTGTTAGAAGTTGGAACTTATCTAATTTAACTAGTTTCATTAGGGCACCGAGTGAGTCTAGCAGGAACCGGGCATTCCAGATCTACCTAATCCCTTAGTTCCTACATATTATATTATTAATTAATTTATTATTTTTAGGAATCGATTCTCATACTAGAGAATCAGTCTGATATTACCGATTAGATTGGATTTCTGGAAGGCTAGTTCACCTGATTGGCCTGATATTTTAAATACCGGTAGGAAATGAGCCGAAAACCATATTACACATTGTTTAAGAATGGACAAGAATAACTAGTCTAGCACATAACATTGTTATTAGCTCACTCTCAACTATCTAATCAATCTAAATAAGACATCTTATTTAAATTTTAAATTAAACTTTCTTTCTACCTCTGCATGAAAACTGACAATTTCTCTCTCTCTCTATCCCCTTCCCATACACGTGAGAACTTTACATAGTGAAAATCTCCCTCGAACTTGAGTGATTTATTTTAAAGTAACTTTTTATTAAAGAAAAAATTATATAAGGTGTCGACCATATTATAGTAAAGCAAAGTGCCTCTAAAAATTCCTCTACTACAGTGTTTTTTGATGTAGGAATTGAAAAGCACTCCAATTTGATCATCTTTCTCTTCTTATTTATTTATTTATTTATTTTATTTTTTAAAAAGGCACAAGGTCGTGGTAGTAGTACCCCACATCCTAATCATCACATTGTGGATTTCATTCTCACCACTAATACTACTCCACTGATACCTTCAAAAAAGTTAACTCTTACTCTACCCAAAAAAAAGAATAGGGTCCAAGATGCATAGACATAAAAAAAATTTTCAATTTTTTAAAATATTATATCTTGTAATAAATTATCTCGACCGTCTATTTTCACAATTTTTTTTAGTATATGTAAATATGCTCAATCCCTTCTGTCTCTTTGAATCTCGGTGTAGTCTCTATGTAGTAAGAGCATCATTATTCATTGTCTAGGATAAGTTGACAACCCCTCTCCATCTCCATCAATCCCTCTCTCTCTCTTCCTCTATCTTGGATTGAAAGTCTTCGACAACCCCCTTTTATCTCTCTATAATGCGTATGATTTCTTAGCTCTTGGATGCCTTTGCCTCTCTCCTTTTACATCATTACTCAGTGGGTGAGGTTTTTACATTACCTGGGCTTATGAAGACAAAATAAAAGCCAAAACCTCAAATTCTTGTCCAAAAACTACTTTTGGCTATGGAAATTTATATGATGGACTTAAAATCAATTTTTAACGCGGACAATAAAATTTGAAACTAAAAAAAATTAGAAATCTTGTAGATATATGAACACTTATTTTTAAGATAACATGGATGAACACTTATTTTTAAGATAACATGGACGGTCTAGATAATTGTTACAAGATATAATAGTTTTAGAGTTTGGAATCCTAATTTGTTTTCAAAACGCTAATGTTAAAGTTGGGATGATCGACATAACGGTTTTCCAATGCTTAACTGACAATTTTCGATGAGTTATAAAGTGATTATTTACTTATTTTGACAGGGTTGCAGCCTTGTCAAACCACTTTTTTAGTACTCGGGGTGGCAATGGACCAAGATCCGAGAGGTAAACCCGATCCAGGTCCGGTTATGGGTCAAAAAATTGGATCCAACGGATCAGATCTCAGTCCGGTAATACTTGTAGGGTCCTACTTTATGAAATATATTTAAACATAATTAAGTATATATAATTTAATTTTTGTGTTGGGTCCAGGTGTGGGTCTGGTGAATTCAGGTCGAGGTTCCAGTACCAAATATGTAGGCTGTATATCTCATTTTTTTAGGATTGTAGTACAATTGGTCAAAGCACCGCCCTATCAAGGTGGAAGCCGCGGGTTCAAGCCCCGTCAATCCCAATTAGGATACGATGAATGGATCGATCCGTCTCTTTTTTCTCTGAAGACGGGGTACAAAAGGACCTAATTCGCATCGGGAATATCCTTATTTCACTTCTTTTTTTTTTTTTGGATCCAAGTCTGAGTCCGATGAATTCGGGTCTTGCCAGTCCGGGTCCCATGTCACTTTTCGTACCCAACCCGACCCGTTGCCATCCCTGTAATAATACTTAATTGTTACTGTATAAATGTCTCCGAAGTCTTCAACACCTTTCTCTTTTGTCTCTCTCTCTACATTTTCGCAGATATTATTTGGCAATCGCTTCTATAGCAATCATTGGCTCCATTTGTAAGTCTTACTTGTCCCATTAGTCTCTCTCTGGATAGGGTATACTGCGCTTACACTCTATTTGATTCCCGATCCTTGACTCAGGAGAGTTGTTTTTCTCGCTCTTCTCCATATCATGGCTCCTTGATAGAGGGTTTTTAGAGAGAGAAAGTGTGTTTTTTTGTTGTTTCTTGAAATGGGTAGGCTTTATCTGATTCATTTGGACGGTAGGATCTACGCTTGCAAGCACTGTCGAACCCATCTCGCTCTGTGCGAGGACATTGAATCAAAGGTGCAATCTTTCTCTCTCTACACCCTCAACTCCTTTTTCTTTTTCTTTTTCTTTTACAAATTTGGGTTTTGATTATAGTGCAAGGGCAATTTTTGGTTTATTGATTTGTTTTTACATTTCTTGTAAAAATTTTGAGGAGGGAGTCATTAAAAATAGATCATGTGAAATCTATTTTGTGGTCTTTTTCGTTTACATTTGCATGATTCCTCTCTCTCTCTCTCTAGATCTATCCTTTGGACTGGTTTAGGATTTGGAAACTCTCTCTCTAAAAAAGTTTATTGGGTTTCAATACAAAAATAAAAACCATCAATTCCATTGTTTCAAATCATATAATCAAGACCTTCTATGAATTTTATTCCAAAAAAAAGATCTTCTATTAACCGTGTGAGATTACACTGCACAAAGTTAATTGTTCAATTTCAATATTAAAAATTTATGAGACATTAAATGGTGAGTAACCATTTGTTATACTCTTTTCTTTTTTATTTTATTTTAACCAATGTGCTCTTTTCTTTTTTATTTTATTTTATTTTGTAGTTCTATTTGTATGTTCTGGGCTTTTTTTTTTCCTGAGTTCATGTGAAATTTTCTTATTTATTTTGCCACTGAAAATAGAAAGAGGCATTGAATTTTAACTAGTATGTTGACATTTATATCTTTCACCTATAGCTTGCCTCAAATTGCTCAAGCCCAATTCGTACTCTTCTTTGTTGAAACCTTTGTTCAGATACTTTCCCCAGTAATGGTTGAGAGAGAGAGATGACCAAATTCATTGCTCTCTTCTTGCTTCATCTTCGAACCCCATTCGCCTTCTTCCCAATTGCAAGGCTATTGCAGTAGCCTCTGTTCCCTTATTTATGTAATTAATTGTTGGTTAGAGAGAGAGAGATGACCAAATTCATTTCTCTCTTTTTACTTCATCTTCAAACCCCATTCGCCTGCTTCCCTATTGCAAGGCTATTGCAGTAGCCCCTGTTCCATTATTTATTTTTTTACTTAATTGTTGGTTTTAATTGATATGGGAAGGACGCAACTCATAAGGAATTGAATTTAGCCTTTTCTAAGTGAAAGCAAGGATGCAACTCATAAGGCTATCCCTATTTATTATGCTGAATGCAAGGATGCTCCTCCATCTTAGACCCTAAGTCTGTTGCAAGTGATATTTCAATGCTTCTTTTTTATTATAATTCGATATTTGTTTTGGGCTTGGGTTGGTTTTTTGTAAGTTTCTCTGCCATCGAGTTTGCCCATGTCTCTTATTGGATATTTACTAAGTCAATTGTTGAATGGGACTAAATACAATGAGACCGTTGACTATGTACACGAAGGCCACAAACACCACAAGCCGTCCAATATAAAATTTGACAGGTGGGGTGTGTAATTCCTCTGCACAAAGCCTGACGAAGATCGTCAAACATAGTTAATAGGATGACCCCAACTGCCCAATTTTGTATCTGACAGCCAGGGGTGATTTTGATCTTTTCATATCAGAAGTAAATAATCTTATTGTATACTTCTCCTTTTTGAAATTCTTTTCTTTTCTTATGGCAATTGTTGGAACTTTTTCAAAAAGAAAAGTCTCCTCAAATGTCTACAAGGTTTGAAGAGTAACAATCTGACATTGCGTGTCCTGTACTTTGGCTATTATTTCATGTGAGATGTTGTTTTTCTTTTTTTCTCAGTAAGATTAGAAATGGCTATTCTTATCCAAGTGCCTGAGTAATCCATTTAACCTAAACCCAAACAAGAAAATTTAGAAAAAAAAATTCCAAAGTTAAGGTGATTATGGCTCCTCTATGACATAATTGCTTTAATTAGTCACCTTATGTCCTAGAAAAGCACCTTATATCCTAGAAAAGTTTGCTAATCATTTATAGGACTTTTATGGTTGATTTGTAAAGCATAAATATTCAATTTATACATATTCCATTATTTATTGGCCTCATTTTTACCATCATCCATTTTTGGTGCAGTAGATCTTGAGAGATTATAGATAATCAAGGCAATTATGCAACTGAATTTTAAAAGAAACAGTTATATTCATGTCAGAAGTATCATTGCTTCATATCATAGAAAATTAGAACATAATGACTGAGTGTGTTTTTGCATAATGAACATAACAAGTTTTTGTATATTGAACATTATATTGTGCAGAAAAAATTATATTTCGGATTTCTATTTTTATTTTTTGGAAGCTGGTATTTGTGAAGGACATCTAGTCATAAATATCTGACTATGATCTGTTGTGTTCTATCAGTCCTTCCATTGCAGGCATGGGAAGGCTTATCTTTTCAAGAAAGTGTAAGTTTCTTGATTGTCTATTATTTCAATTCCATTATCGCCATAATGTGGAATGGAAAATGTTGGTTGATAAATTTTTGCCTTCTCTATCTGAGGAGCAACTGTGTTTTTTCTCTTCTTCTTTTCTAGAGTAGATTCCCCAATCTGCAACTTCATGTTTCATATGATTCATTTGAGATCTGAACTATTCATGGAGATTCTTATGGGAAATGTCAACATAAAAAAATATTGGACAATAGGAAATTGTTCAGAATATTAATAAAACATCTGAAAATTTCTAGATGAAATCTGAGAAACCACAAATACCTCGAGCTATCATTGCTACACCAAGTTGCATATCACATGAGAGATGCACTTTGCACGTTTACTGAACATTTCAGCTCTGGTATTTGTCAGCAAGATAACATGCTGTAAACATTTGAAACCAAGGGGTAAAATAAGAAGAATTTAGTACTGTTTGATATTACAAAAGAAATCCATTTATAAACATGGATTCCCCTGGAATAGCCAATTATACAAAGTACTACTGTAATTTGGATTCCGGAACATTTCAACTTTTCCTTAGTCTAGATTAGATCTATCTTCTGGTTAGTGTGAGGTTTTAAGGAAATATTGAACTGGTGGCTGTTTTTTCAGCCACTGAATTATGTCAAGCTACTATTAGAGAAGAAGAAGAAAAAAACCTTCGAGGCCCATATTGGCTTCTAATTTATGTACCAAGAAAATTGCTACTAGTTTTTAGCTCATTTCTTACTTGGTGGAGACTTGTGGTTCTCTTGTTGAGCAGCAAAATGTTGTTCATGCTTGGCTCATTGCTAGCCAAGCAGTGTGCTTGGCTTGTTGACACACCTAGATGTTGTTCAAGTGTTGGAGTTCATTCATAAAGAAAGAAGAGTCGCCGACCCCCTTTCATTCATTCATTCAGGAGCGAATGCAGCTCGGCGGTTTGGGTCCTGAACAAACGTGTTGAGATGGATCCTTAAATGAGAAAGAAACTACAAATGATTTCTTGTTTCATATATGGATATAATTCCTGCCTTGCCTCCCCCTAAAACAACTGAATTAATCAAATTATCGCCACTGCAGCATTTGATCAAGTTTTTTATGTCTTGTCTCATGTTTTCTTCGTGACAGAGTGAATGTTTTCGTTGGACCGAAAGAAGACCGGATGATGACTAGTGGAATGCACACCGTCTCCGACATCTTTTGCGTTGGTTGTGGATCCATCGTGGGCTGGAAATATGTAAGATCACAAATACAACAATTTTGTGGCACTTTGCACTTGTTTTTAAACAGTTTTGCCAGTCTTTTTCATTCTTATTCTTAGATTGTGACAATTATCGTATTCCAAAGTATGCTATTGTTCAATTGTCTTTACCATTTGGGTCCAAGTATCCAATGACATGATGACTGACCATAGAGAGAGAGAGAGAGAGAGAGAGAGAGAGAGAGGCAGGCAATTGAACCTGCAAGAATAGGGCATAAACTCAATGATCTCTATCTCACACACACACGCACATGCACGCCCGCGCTCGGAGAGGTAAAATTAATCATAAAATAGTGAGTAGTTTGTTCTTCCCTCCTTGTTATGCTTTGACTTTGAAGAGCTTGCAATTGATGTGCTCATTTGGTTTCAGTTGGTTGCCCATGAAAAGGGCCAGAAGCACAAAGAAGGAAAGTTCATATTAGAAAGGTATGATTAAGAAAATGGTTAGCACTTTAGAGGTTCTTGAAAATATTACAAATGGTTTAGGTTTAGTGAGTCTTGGCTTTTTGTTGATTGTTGATAATGAGCAGGCCAAAGGTGGAAGACTTTGATGGATCCAACTTTTGGGTGAGCCATGAAGCACAAGTAGGGGGAAGTGATGCAGATGATAGCTGACACAAAGCCTTGGATTCAAAATCCCCAGTTCTCTTGCAATTGTACATTCTCTCTCTCTCTCTCTCTCTCTCTCTCCAGAAATTAATGAATAATTTAATTTTTATGTTGTGCTTGGTTGGTAGCTATTCAATAAAATAAATGTTAATTGAAATGTATGTACTATTTGAGACATTGTGGTTTATGACAATCTGCGTAATACTTGTACATCGGAAATTAGGACCATCAATGAGGTGCCTTGTTGGAACTTGAAAGCTGAAACAATTGTTTTGCATCGCATTCATTGCTTTTGTTAGGCTATTTTCTCTTTGTGATGCATTCCCATTATTTTCTCAATATTTTTGGACTCTTGTATTTAAAGGGTATAGAGATTGTTTATAAAGAGATCATTTACCTTTTTGTACAAGAAGATCAATATTGTTCCTTATATTTCAAAATTGGTAGTTATAAGAGTATCATTGATTAGACTCAAATTTTCAAAAATAAAATTCTCGGACTTCACGACTCACCTCAAGCCATTCATTTTGATATTTAATGAGTGGAAATAGTTGTGGCCTCTTTATACACAAGGTAAATGGTCTCTTTGTAGACAATCCCTTTAAATAAATGGTATTATTTATAAGGAAAAGTTTATGTGGTTGCAACCTTAAAATGTAGAATCACTGATGCACCTCAAAAATCTATCGGAAATGTTGTTTTAATATTGAAAAAACCCTCTAATCAATCATTTCGACATGGAGATATATGAATATAAAAAAAAATAAAGTTTTCGAGTCCCTAAAATAGTGCATCTTACAACACATTATCTAAACCGTACATTTTTAAGATTTTCATATATTTATATATCTACTTTATTTTAACCATTTTTTAATTTTTAAATTTTCTAATTAGGTAAAAAATAGATTTTAAGATAATATTAAGAATTTTTTACAACAAAATTACATGTTATGATAAAATTTTAAAGTACAACTAAATTGGATTGTTTAAGGTTGCAACCTTATAGAAACCGCACCCTTATTTATAAAAGGTATCAAAGTAATTGGGACCTTCAAATTATTATGAAGGATGCAATTCCAATGTTAGAAATTCTTACAATTGGCCAAAAAATTTATGCCCGCTCTTAATTATGACATTTATAGCTCTAAAAGTTGGTGTAGATCGAATAAACACTCGAAAATTTATAAAATGGACGGCTGCTCAGATAATGTGTTACAAGATGTATTATTTTATTATTATTCCTAAGACGAGATGTTTAATTAGTAGGTTTCTAATGTCGAAATAACTTTTTTCCATGGGTTTTTGGGGTGCACATCACTTTTATGGTATAAACACCTCCATATAATATTATTGGAAGTTATTCATACATGGTATGACATCATCTACATATAGCAATAATACTTTCAAATAAAATATTGTTATTTGAAGATACCTATTCCACCCCTCAATGACAAAAGGATCCATGGCTTTATGAATTTTTGTGTTAAAAAGGCAAGGACATTATGAGTGTTAGTTCAGGAATACTCCAAGTAGCTTAATTCTATTCATACATGAAAAATTAATAATCATTGCTTGTCATGAAGCCAAAAAGAAAAAGAGAGATAGGGGTTGCACATTAAACCTCTTGGCTCAATGAGAAAGTGCTTGTTGCAACCTTGGAAAAGGTGGAGGCCTGAAACCGTTCATTGCATAGAGAGAGAGTTTTGGAAACTTTGATATTCATGTATATAAACTATAAAAAGACCATTCGCTTATATAGTACAAAGAAGTCACAGATCACTCTTATTTTGAAAATTTTAATTTCCCTAATTCCAAAACTCTAAAAAGAATTTTACCAAACAGAGAGAGAGAGAAAGAGTATAAGTTACTTTACAATTGAGATTCATGTAAGAACAAAATAATTTTATTCAAGAAGCTCACTTTTATCCAAGACTCAGAGACAGAACCAGCAAAAGAAGGGAAATGGAAGCCAAGTCAAATTTTAGTACAGATCAAGGAAAATTCATTAGAAACACTTAAATAGGCACAAATGAGAGATAAAGAGAGAGACGACAGAGAACTCAAATGCTTACATTCAGTGAGAATGCGGAGAGAGAGAGTGGACAGAGAACTCAAATGCTTACACAATGCGCATGCTGAGAGAGAGAAAGCGCTATCCAAGGGAATAGACCATGTGTTCTGAAGCTGTGCGGCCCACAGCTTTAGCATACCTCTGCAACTGCAATTCCAAAACAGCAATATGCCTCCTTTCAATTGGACTGTCTTCTTTAAAATCCTTCAATCCAATAATCAACCATTAATAGTACATGTCAATGACTTAATCTCGACAGCAAGCTATCAAGTTTATCGTATTCAAGAAGAAAAAAAAGATCAGAGATGATACATGGTAGAACATGCCCTGTTTGCAAGTCGATTAACTTTCTAGTCACTTTTAGAGCTTCTACACACACTCTCTCTCTCTCTCATGCACAGAGATTCCCCAAAATATAATGAATATGGTCATCAATAAGAAAATGCTTGAAAATTTCATCCATGGAAGTGCCACGTCACTGAACTGCTGTAGGCGACAAGTAACCATTATGAAGAAGAAAAAATCCGACAATAATATCACAAGAATCTAAAATAAAAAACTGATACTCATTATAAAGCCCAGATTTTCCCCTTCAATTATTTTTTATAATTTCACTGAATTTTATATGGGAAAGGTTAGTGAGATGTTATAGCAAAGTGAGAAGTTAATAGAAATCAGAACAAAAGCCTAAGTTTATGTACACCTAAATTATAAATTTTTTATTTTCTTTCTGCTTTTTCTCTTTTAAACTTTTCCCTATTGGGTGTATTCTTTTCTAATTTCCCAAGGATTTTTCGGGAGTAAAGCGAGCAATACCCTCAACCAATGATTTAAAAAACGGATCGGTGCCCCGGACCAGGCACTCCAAAACTTCATCCGGATCGGTGAATCGACGATCCGGATCGGGAATCGTCTGACTCAATTGGATTAAGCTTTAAAAAAATCCAAAAAAATTATTAAAATTATTAAAATTTATTATAAATGTTGTCTTTTAGAAATCCAATAAGAAACGAGGCTACTATATTGTTAACTTTCATTTTTTTCATCAATTTGTAAATATTGAGACGTTCTTTCCCTGTATAAACTTATGTTAACCATTAAATTTACATCACACAAAAGAAAAATCATAGAATTATCAGTGATAAAGTATATCAATCATACATAGACTACAATAAAGAGTAGACTAAATCGATGAAAAAACGGCCACTAAAATCTCAAATTGGCGGAAAACCCTAATTCGCTAAAAAAACCCAAATTATTACAACCTAATTATAATCCAAAATTATTACAACCTAACTAACTATAATATTATATACTGAAATTAAAATTGTTGGTCAACATTTTATAATTATTTTACTATACAAACAATAACAAATCCAAAATATTTTATAATATCATCTAATTTAAAATGTATTATTGACAACTGTAAGAAAAATAGTACATTACATGATTTATAATGCAAAAGTTAATAAATAAAATAAAAATTTGGTTATCAATATAGAAATTATTTGAATGCATATCAATTTTTGAAATAACACTTCAATTTTTCAAAATTTTAATTTTTTAGATTCTAAAATAAATTTAGTAAAAAAGATTGTTAATAGAAAGATAGAATTTCAAATGGAATTTTTTTTTTTTTAACAACATTATTTTCTGCTTATTTTTTATTTTTTTTACAACGAAAATAAAATAATGTATACAAAAATAAAATAATGTAGCGCGCCAGAGTTGGGGTTCGAACCTGAGGCGTCCTTCAACAAAGAAGCAATATGGGGTTCGAACCTGAGGCATCCTTCAACAAAGAAGCAATAACCATAAAGCCACGTTGTGGCAAGTGTAATAGCTTTGAATATTAATAATAGTTATTCAATGTCTATTTTAATTTAATGGACCTTGTGGGAATTATCCCACATCCAAGAATGAGTATAAAAGTGTGTGATATAAATAGTTTCGTTGTGCTTTGTTACATGCATGCGTGAAAACGCGGGGCTGCGATGCTGTGGGGTTGAAGGCTTGCCACGTGCGACTAAGTTTTGAGGCTTGCCATGTGTGACTGAGAACCGGAGAGAACCGATAAAAAGTTATGTCATGTGACCGGTTCTCCCCGGTTTGCGCCGTCTATAGGCGGTTTATAGTTCAGAACCGCCGGTTCTGATCTAGAACTGAGCGGTTCCGGGTTTTACGATGTAATCAGCACAGGGTTACTGATTCCCATGCCGACTCGGACGAGTCCGTTGCGACTCGCCGATTTTTAAACAATTGACCTCAACTGATACCCCAAAATGAGACATGTAACTACACACAAATAGCAATTTTATCAGGAAAGGGTTGATCATCAAACTGAGGAGGGTAACAATCAGGTGCACACCGGTTAGACTGGCCAGTTCACCGGTTAGACCAGTCTAGAAAATATGGATAACAAATATGAAAAATGATCAAATATCGGTCTGAACTGGTCAATACCAGTTTGAACCAGCTAGTCCAACCAGTCCAATTTGTTGGACTGACAGTACAAATCAGTTTTGACTTAATGCAAGTTCAGTGATCAGACCAGACCAATTCCAAGGCTGGTTCCCAGTACGACCAGTCAGACCAGCCAGCCAATTCAATCAGATCTTTATTACATTGGTCAAGTAGAAACAGAGAGACAAAATAAATGTACCTTGAAGCGGACACGAGAGCCATTCAATGCTATCATAATCTTATCAACATCCACATTAAGCAGCTCATCGGGCAATGACATATTGTTGCTTTCTGAATCATCATCTGGGCCTGTGTCCCACTCATCCATATCAAGATCCATTTCTTCTCCCTCATCATTGTCATCGTCATCGTCATCATCATCATGGAGAACCTCACTCTGATCTTCAGCGCTGGGTTGTTCGCATTGTTGTGGTTCCGTTGAGCTTTTGGGGTCTTCAGCTGCCAAAGTCTTGTAGTCCGAGAGGACAACATATGGTTTCTTATCAAGCAGTGGCTTTGCAATGTGAAATGGCACCCACCTGTAAGTATATAAATTCAGATAAAATAAATAACCTCAAAATATATAAACTGAGATTACGAAAATAACCTGAAAAATGTTGGCAGTAAAACCCCAAATGCCAAATGTGGTCAGGGCTCTCTGCAGAAGTTCAGGCAAAGATGAGGAAAGATGCACTTCGTATCTTTTTATACTTTTTTAGGAGGTCGATATTTTGGAATTTGACCTTTGGATGTTGGTACTGTGGCCCTCATAACATAATCACCAAGGCAAGAATCTCATCTCTATGAAAGATAGAGAGATAGTATGTAGGACCTCAGTTACTGTGAGGTGCCAATTGTATGGTTCTTTCATTCCCTTCACTCGTGATTTCTGTCTCACTTTTGGGAATCACTTGAGTACGACTAGATATTATTTCCAAAAGAAAAAAAATTAAATTTTGAGTTTTCTAACACTTAGATCTCACTCTCTAAAAAGTGGATGGTCTTTGTTCAGTTGTGAGACATCATTGTTTATTGTTTTCAAGTGCGTAGCGAGTGCAATTAGGAAATTTTTAAGTTATGATTAGCCTATGGCTTGAAGATGTTACATCCCCAAAATTTGGGTCCTAAAGGTAATACTAGGTTGGGTGTTACCCGAGGGAGTAAATGGACAGTATACTCCCACGGAGTATAAAACTCCCAGGGAGTATAAAATCTTTTGGCATAAACAATAAGGTTTTCTAGTGTCACAATATTGTGGTTCATTATATTACGTGGAAAGAAAGGGTAATGCGGCCAAACATTCATATACGTTTTATACTATGACCATGTCCACAATGTATCATTCAATAAAATACATTCTCAAGCTGTCCATTTTATAATGATTAATAAGGAATTATCATTCAAAAGTATGAATTTTACACAAGGATATTAGTCACTGCAGAGTTTCATGCATGAAGTTTTTAACTTAAAAAATTCAAGTTCAGGGCTTTATTCAAGTGAACAATTTGTCTGCACGTAAATATTTAGCATTCAAGCTCAGAGATCAATAGTGACCCTTTATAAATTAGGAATATGCATGCCAATATGATGGAGTTGAAAGTAAACAACCACCAAGAAAGAAAGAAAGAACAAAAGAAAAATAGAAGAAGAAGAAGAAGAAGCGGATAAGAAGATAAATACAGCAAACAAATGAGTACTTGCCCGTAACGAAGGGGACATAAAAGCTCAGAGGGGCAATATGCTGCCTTATATCTCATCTTAGGGCAGGAGTGAATATAATAGCCGAGATAGTAGTATTGCAGGCTAGGGCAGTGCCTCTGTGCCTCCTTCACCCAATTTATTTCCTGAAGAGCAGAATACTTTCCTAGAGAGAGAAAAGCAAGGTCTGGATCCCAAAACAAATATTTACTAGACAAGCATCTTGGAAGGATATCCACCACACCAACTGCAACCAGCTTCCCATCAATCACATATTGCTGATGGAAAGAACCAAAGCCACATGGGGGAACTGTTCTATCATTTGAATGGGGAACAAACACAAGAGGAGTGTCCACCAAGAACCTCCTGTATGAGCTTTCCTTGACCTGCTCTGGTTTCTCATTATGCACCTTAATTTGGTATCTTCTATACAGAGCATATTCTTCAGGGTCAAAGCATGATCGCTTCATACGGATCTCAAGCCTTCGCTTCTTGAAGGGGGGGGACTTATTTTTATTCAACGAGCTATTGGTTTTTGCTCTAGTTCCCTTGACAGGAAGCTCATCCGATCGTTTTTCTTTAGTAAGAGAGAAAAAATTAAGGTGCCCATTGCAAGCTTCAATAGAGATATCAGCAATGCCTCCCTGTTGGTTTAAAGAGTATGCCACCTTTTCTGCTATTTCCCGAGGAGAAAGAATCTTTGGTTTTTCCCCTGCATTGACACCATCTTTCACTTCCTCAAGTTCTTGAGATTTTTTGTCAGCTGATTGTAACCGCCTTAAGGCTGCTGCAAACTGAAAAGCAATGTTGCTGGTGTACAACAAATTTCCCGACAATTCTCTGAGCTTCCTTTTGGTTTGTGGGTTAACTCGTTTGACACAAGCAGAAGGCAAATCCATAAGGGCAGCCAATTCATCAGTCTCTATGCATGCCTTTAGAGCATTGTCGATTTGGGCAGATAAATCCTTCGTCTCCATGGGTGCCTCATTCACTTCTTTGCAATCAGAAGAAGAAAAAGACACCTTTTGGACCAAGTTTTGAGACCCCTGGCTTGTGGACATGTGACAAGTAAGGCTGCATGAGCCCTGAGAAGAATCTTGCTCCTCATTCTGAGACTTGTCTGATTTCTTCAAACCAAGTGTCCCATCTAAATACCTGTTACAGAATACATATAAGGTTTACTGCTTGAAATGTTTTCCAAGGTCAGTTAACATCAACATGCAATCCGGTTCTACAAAACATATCATTTTATAAGTGATATACAATGTAATGGAGCATATATCAATGACCCTAACAAGGCATCTCAGGGAAATAAAATAATTAAGGTACCTTTGCATTCTCCGAGAAACGCGAATTTGCTCCTTCGAGGGCACAAAATCATCCACCTTAAGACGGATTGTATATAATGGACAGCATGTTTTTTCCATCTCGGGTTTGTAAATAAAAGATCCAGATCTCCTCCAGCCACGGTCAAGAAGTTCTGAGATCAAACATAAGCAGATGTTAACCACATTCACCGCATCACAGAATTGATGGATAAGAAGGCTGCTGAAGGCTCTTATTCTCGATCGAAGGAATTAACAATAGATATTGGCTAGAAATCACCAACTCTTGGGAGAATCCTAAAGGAGAATCCGGCAGCTAAGATCAATATAGTGGAAAATAGTATATGTGAAATGGGAGGTTGTCAAACCAGAAAGCAAGTGCAATTATGCTCAATCTAAGATGGCCATTTCAGTTGCAATTAGGCTAGATTGAGCATGCTAAAATGTAGTAAATCTACTCAGTGTTCGATAAAGCATAATTCGTTAAAATATGTTTATTGTAATTACATACCTTGGTAGTCATCCACTGTAATGCTGCGAGCCCCCATACCTACCAAAGAACAAAGTTAGTAATCAATATATACATCACAATTATGACCTCCATATAGCAGCAGTCACTGTCTCCATTGCTAAATTTTCAATAACACACCTTCCATAGAAAGATGCACACCCCTCTGAGTGTTACGCACAAATAAGGAAAAAGATAATTGTACCCACGATTATCGAAGCACAAAGCAGGACACTAACATCACAGTTCAACTAAATGATAGACTGGTGATTTGCAATTTTGGACACACCTTTTAAGTATATAAAAAATAAAAAATATAAAAGATAAAAGGACAATGCACAAAAATGTAATTGAAACCACACAAAGATTTTGACAAGACAAGGAATTGCAAAGACCAGAGGGACAAGTTACATAAGGGATTCAGGGAAAGCCCTGTTGGCCATTCTAATACCCAATTTACCTAACTTAGGGTCTGTTTGATAGCACCCTAATATCCTAATATTCTTGTATAATATAGAATCTATAATGATTTTAATTTGACGAGTTCACATGCCATGTTTGATAGGGCAAAATCACATATTCTACGATTCAAATAGCCCCTAAATATCTGAATCCCCAATAATCCAACTTGGAGTTGAATTTTGCGCGATTCAATTTCTCCGTCAAAATTGTTGCATGTCTCTCTCTTTAGCTCATGCACTCGTCTCTATCTTTTTGTCTCTCAGCAGGTACCCTCTCTTTCACGCTATCCCCAAAATAAAAAGTTGCATAACCCTACTCTTTTGATGCTTCTCTTTATCAAGAAAAGAAGAAAACAACACACAGAAAAAAAAAAACTTTCAATAGCGCCATAGATGTCTTCTGCTTGAGAATACCCTTGGTCCCAACCACAAAGCCGCAACTTGGCTCTGCAACTGAACCAGCTATAACTATGTTGCTTTCTCACTCTAGCTGTCTCCATATTGTTGCTCACTTTAATTGCCTCACACCACCTCCCTGAATCTGCGTGCAAATTAGAGAGCAAAATAAACGGGGTTGAACTCTCGGGGTTTGAGTTTTAACAGTTCCTGTGAAGCCGATTCAGCTAATTTGATATCACCATGAATTCTACAAGCACTGAGCACAGCTCCCCAAACGGCTCTACCCGGCTCAATTGGCATGGTCTGGATAATGGGCATGGCTTCCTGTAACTTTCCATGTTCTTTGGTCATGGAATCAAAGAATTCACAGGCCTAATCCACTAAGTCCCCATTGTTACAGGCTGAGAGAACAGAGATAAAGATTATATGCGGTGGTAAAACCTTTGATTCTTTCATATTTTCAAATAGCAGGATGGCCTTAAGTGCACGGCCATGATGGGCATAACCCACATCAGTGCATTCCAAGAGACCATATCTCCATGAATCATCGCATTAAACACCTTCGTGGCATCCCCCATGTCTCCATAAAACCAAACCTTTTCGTCTAGAGAGAGAAGAATAAAACCAAACCAAACCTTTTCGTCTTGAGCCCTTTATGGAAGGTAGTGAAATGGACCCAAAGGCGAAGAGAGAGAAAACAATGGCTCATTACTTTTTTTGGGGATTCAAGAAATGGGTTTTTTATGATGGGATTCTTTATTTTTACATCTCTCTACTTCGTTATTTAACAGTTTTCTTTCTCTTGAAATCAATGAGTTGGTTTCTCTCTCGCTAAATTTCAATCAACGACTCATTGTATATCCTTCTAGAAGTTTTTTTTTTTTTTTACAAATTTATTTACTTTCTGTTCAAAACGTAATAAATTGTACTATTATATTTTATTTTATTTTATTTGTATTTTTCAGATTTATTTGTTGCTTTGTTCGTGTGTTTCTTGCATTTCTTGCCACGTGATTCATCACTCTAAAAAAATTATTAAAATTTAATTTTATGGGCCAAATGGTCCTAAATTATAAATTATGAAAATTCTGAAATACTGGTGGACAATACGTCCACAGAAAAACACATATCTAGATATTATAAAATCTAGATTATATAGAAAGTAGGCAAGGTTTTTATTCAAATTTCTAACAATCTGAATATTCAAATCCTGTTTTGTCAAACATACCCTTAGGTAGTATACATCCCATTGTATTTTTACTGAAAAGGAATTCTAAGAAATGATTCCATTTCCATGAAGTTGCTAAACCATGTTCTAAGATAGAAGCTAATATTTACCAGCACATTGGGATTCTGGTGATGGCATGACCGGTTACTGAGGGAATATAGCGGGATTGATGAGGGGGAGCAACTAAGAAGAGAGGGTGAAACATTGTTTTCCGTTTCAAGGCCAATTTAATTGGATTGCCTCAAAATAGCATCCGCCCCCCATCCAAGATAAAACTCAATGCACAACAAGGGACATAGCAAATCTACCAGAGCGTACAAAGAACGAGAGATTTTTTCACCTTTATATAGAGTTTGTAAGAGCCTATCCAACCAAAAGGTGTGACTATGAATCATGAATTTTCAAAGAAGAGGCATGTTTGCACTCTTAATAGTCACATTCACTATTAACAGACACATTGATTCACAAATTTGAGTGTCCACCAATAATTAATGGTAAGGGTAGTTGATGACTATTAGTTTGATTAGAGAAGTTCAAAAGTACCATCCTTCAGTTCACGCTATTTGGAATATTGCTTCTTTGTGGGGTAAATATTATCGACTGGTCCATAAAAGGAGGCATGCAGTGTGAATGCACACAGCACACGCATTTTAGTTAAGGTGGCCTCTTCACTGATGCGAACATGCAAAGTGAGCCTCCTGTCCCCTCGCCTTAGCAATTGCACAGGTATGTGCATGCAAGTTATTCATTGTTCAGAGTTATGTTATTTCATAAAATTTGAGTCTCCAACAGTCATTAATTGCAAGGGCAGTTAATGACTGCTAATTTGAGTTTAAACATTCAAAACAACCGATAACAACTTAATTTAATGCAATTTAAATGATATTGTCCCTTTGTTGGGCAAAAACTATTGCGTGGTCCAAAAAAGAAGCATGAAAATGCACTGCACATGGACATGCGTTCAAGTTAACGGCACCTCCTTGCCAATGCAAAAATGTGAAGTGTAAAGTGAGCCCCTTACGCACTCGCCTCACATATCATGCTTGCACAATGCATGCTTCACATGGGAGTTTTCTCTCTCCATTGTTCTACAAACACGACAGAATTGACTCATATATTCTTGCCATTCTCATTCTAAATGGCCAATGTAAACTTTGACCTGTCAAAAAGAAAAGGCCAATGTAGAAGTGAAAAAAATCCACTTTCATTTTAATTTGAATAAGACAAAAGAGCAAAAATTGCCTATCCAAAATACACCATACATAGTACTTTCATACTAATATTATTTTGAAATAAAATAATTTATTTTCTTACAAAATACTAACATATAGTTATTTTAGTATTTTGTATAAGAAATACTACATAGTGGCACGCCTCAACGCAGGCACAATCGTGTTACCATTTATCTTTGGTATAAGGTGATCACAATTAGTCTTGACCATTGGATGTGAAATTGAGTGGCTACATTTATTGCATTGATCAAGTTCAAAGTTCAAAATAAATCTTTTCGAACTTTGTGACACATCCAAGCTATCAGATTTCACATCGGGTGGTTATAAGTAACTGTGACCTCCTTGTATGAAAGGTAAATGGTCTCATTGCATACAATCCCTTTTTAGAATGGTTGACTTTTGTTATCATTGTAATGAGGATTTACATAGTTGCAAAAAATGGCAACAATGTAAGCCGGGTGCTTAGTTTTTTTTTTTTTTTGAGTTTGGAGAATTAAAAACCAAAAATAGGAGGCCTTACACACCCACAACAACAAAAATGGTAAGGTCGGGTGCTCATCAGTGTAACAGATTACTACAAAAGCAATGGGAAAGACAAGGACACATTACTTACTATGCAGGCAATAAGTATAAAAAAATTTCCCTAAAATATTTATATATATATATATATATATGAATAAAAAGAACTATATAAATATGTGATTTACTTGATAGTAGGCATTTTAATTATTATTTGTTTCTAACATATGTGTTGTTTGAGCCGCTGATAAAGTAATGCACCATTAGCCAGTAAAATAAAGTTATCCAATCCATTCATTGAATTCAATAAGAAAGAAAAGCATATGTCAATATAATAAGAAACTTAACTAAGAAATCCAGCATAGCATGATACTATCAAAACAAATTAGAAAGTGACTATAGTATACAACCAAATATTCGATACTTTACAACTACACCAAAACCAAAAAGTTCAAGACCAAAAAACACACGCACACACACACGCACGCACACACACACACACACCCAAAAAAAAGGATAACTAAACTCATAGTTATTAAGGGCAGCTGCATAAGAGATTATGCAGCCACATCAAAAAGCAATGAAGCCCTTGGCTAGTCACCTCAGCATGCCGAAGTGCACTTCGATGAAGCCACATCTGATAACTATGCCCCTAGGAGGATTAAGTTCAGTGTCCTGTAAGGATCCCAGAAACTCTACGCGATACAGAAAACCAAAAATAAAAGATTTCCCCCTTATTCCTGGTACTTGAATAGCAAGCTATACTTAGAACACCAAAATTTTTATATTTATCAAAGAGTAGCAAGAGAGAAATAGGATCTTCAAAAAAAGAGCCAAAGGGGAAAATAAAATCAAGAGGAAGCAAAATTCACGTATGTCATATGTGGGGTTAAAATGACAGTGGAGTTAAATTAGTGAGAGAGACAAAGTAAAAACAACTTTATCAATCGGTTCAATATAAGTTCATAATTAGAGGTACACCACCATGTCCTTTCAGGATCATGCCCCTTCAATGTATGATTGTCTTTTCTTCACAAATACAACCACTATTTTAGCCATACACACTCTTGCTTTTACTATGTTCCTTTCTATTTCTAACAGTAAAATATAATCGTAACAATAACCAATTCTATTTCTAACAATAAAATACAATTGTAAAATAACCAATTGCAACAGCCATTTGTTCAACAAATGCACCACTTTCTAAAAAGCGAAACTCTCTAAATTTACAAATAATCCTACTTCTTTTATTAAATACCAAACTAGTTCGCATTATTAGCAAAATAGTACATTCTAGTTTACAAAATACTGATTAAGTCCACAAGCTTTCATAAATTCAATCTAAGTCCTAAATTTTTTATAAAATATCATTTTGATCCTACACCAAAACAAATTCTGAACAACAAAAAATACTTTTTAAAAATTACAGATATTATTTTCAAACTAATTCATATTATTTTGAGACAAATTTAAGTACATTGTTACACAAAATACTAACATATCTATATGTTAGTATTTTTATAAGAAGAATAATTTCAAAATAATATTAGCACAAAGTACTCAGTTCTATGTTTGTTTTATAAATTTATTCGAGTTCAAAAGAGAGATAAAATGTTTCTAATCACGCATTGACTGCTTAAAACAAGAGCAACAAGAAAAACTCTTCCTACTTTGGTGTTAGTAGAACTGAGAAAAACTCTCCCAAGTGGAGCATGCGATGCTTGCATGCACACACGTGCATGTCCAAGGGCAAGAGCAAAGAGGCTCACTTTGGACTCCACAAGCTCTTGTCGGTGAAGAGGCACCCTTAGCTCAAATACCCATGTGTGTGCAATATGCGTTCACACATGTTCTTGGGACTGTGCAATAACTTTTCCCGATAAAAAGGCCACATTGTCCAAAGAGCACGAAATTATGTGATTGTTAGTGTTTTTTAATGTTAAAAATTAGAAAACTTCCAGTAACTGCCCTTGCAGTTATAACTGTTGAAACTCCAATTCATGAAACAACATGATAGTAAATAGTGAATGTGATTAGTAACACAACTATTAACTATGAAACACGATTCTTTGCTGAGGAGTTGTTATTAACATTCCACCTTTTGGTTGGACCTCTTACAAACTCTATATAAAGGCGAGAAGTCTCTCGTTGTAAATACACTTGAATTCTCTCTCTCTCTCTCTTCTAAATTTATTTGTATCAGTCTTCCTCTCGTGTTATTAGTGTTCCTAGTATCCTAGCACAAAGAACTGGTAGGAAATCCTTTATTCCTCTATTTCATTGTATCCCAAAAATAGAATTGTCAAAATCCTTATTGTACACTAAGTTCAATCTCGGATAAAGAACATATACTACCTTGAGACAGCACCATTAAATTGCACCTCAAGACAGATAAAAATTTTTGCCATCTCTTCCTTAATCCTCTATTTTCCAACACTCACAATGTTAACAATTACAACACTAGGTCCCAGGTTTGAATCTCACACTGATCTGCCCAAAAAAACTTAACCAACACATTTTTTCATCCTAAAAGGCGTCACCAAAATTGAGTTTTATTGGGATCTGTAGAGCATGGAGCCATGGAGTTCTCAATTTTTGCAGCTAGCCAAAGTACTACAATGACATTCTTAAAAGTTAAAAGTATTTCTCTCTACAGGAATCACAAGAGGATAGAATTTCCAAATTGTTGTAAAATGAGCCGAAGCTTTCAGAAGTGTATTTTCCACATTTTTTTGTAAAAGAACACAATGCTAGTTCATAAGTTACAAATCGCGTCAAGATGAAGGCATATCTAATCTAGTTTTCTTTCACAGAAATTATTGAAGGAGTTGTATCTCACCAAATTAATTCTACCATAAGAATGCCTAAGAATTTTCTAAACTTAAAAATCTCCTCGATGTTTGATTTTTCTTTTTCCGATCATAGTCATTTTTGAGTTACGTATGCCAATGCCTTCAAAAGTCCGATCTTATTCTCTTTCCCTTGTATAACTTATATTTAGTCATTGCACTTAAACCACAATAGAACTAGGAGTTACAATTACATAAGCTATAATCTGAGTTACCCATACACAAAAAAATTCTTGAAAAATATAACGAAAAGACAAAAGATCAACGAAACTTACAAGACAATAAATTTAATTTGATGAGAGTTGAAAGCTTCGGATTATAACCATTGCAATTTCATATACAGAGAGGCGATGCAGCGGTAAATTAATCAGGAATCAGATGAAAAAGTTCAGAAAAATTAAATAACACTCAAAAACATAGATAATTGATATTCATCTAACAAAAAAAAAAAGCTAATTCCATGAAGAACTGGAGGAGATCAGATAAAAAAGATGATAAAAATTCAGCTAAAATACATGAAAAACCAAAATTTGATCGAGAATTGGAAGAGCTTACCATGAGCCAAGCTCGATCGGCTATTCGATTTACAGTAGCCACAAGATCCTCGAAGCCACCCACGATCGACCACAACAGACTCCCCTCTGTTCCCGGTACTGCTGCTCGCCTCACATTCCGTCCGTACAGCCATATCCATATGAGCACAAGAACTTCATGAGTGAATATTCTCCCCTCCCACTCTCTGTGTCTCCATTTCTAGGGTTTCGCCATGCTCTGGATCATTTGCAGAGGAAAACACACTCTCTGCGTCGCCATTTCTAGGGTTTCGCCATGTTCTGGATCATTTGCAGAGGAAAACAGTGCATTTCAATAGTTTCTTCAAGTTTTGTGTCCAAATGTCAATAAAATGACCGGAAACCCTTAGGTTTGTGATATCGTTCATTATTTTCAGAGAGCCAAGGAATGAATTTCAAGGGTTCATTGAGATGCTTGATAGCTGCAGTGGGACGAAATAGATTGATAGGGCTTCCATAGATCCTGGATTAATTGCAGAGGTGAGAGAAAGAAATAAAATGTGGAATTGCTACAAAAAAGGAGAAAGAGAGAGAGCAAAGGAGGGAAGCTTCTCAATTGAGAGCAGCAAAGGGATCTCTGGAGGTAGCGGTCTTCAATCGTCTAGAGAGAGAAAGAGATTGTTTTGTGCCTAGTGAGAGAGAGACGAGAGAGAGCGATTGCTGTACGCAGGATTGAAGAGAGAGAATTAGTGTGTGCATGGAGAGAGAAGCGTTTGGGCATACTTTATCGGGTAAGTCGTGTTTCTACATACTTAGCAGGAACAAAGATGACCTGGATGAGAGAGAGTGTTCTTGTAGAGAGAGAACACTTTTATAGTACATACGAGAGTGTGTTTTTTTAGATCGACAGATCTACGAAAATCTTGAAAATTGATGGTCCAAAAAACATTATAAAATACACTATTTTTAAAATCTGAAATCTGTGTTTTATGTCTAGATGATCAATTTGAATATATTTGAATATCAATATAACCTCATTTATTGAAATTTTTGAAGTATGTTTTAATTTGATTGTTTCGAGTCTCGGCTATTTATAAACTTCTCCCTTTGAGTTATTGTCCTGTACATAATTTAGTAGAGATAAAAAAGCATTTGCTTTTAAATTTTTTTACCTAGTAGATGCCAGTTGGTATTTGACTATCACCGTTTGATTCCAATCGGATCTGTTCAATCTCAACCGTTAATTTGCAAGATATTTGACCTAGAGAAGAAGACTCCTTACATTAATTTCTTATTAGTTGTGAATGATTAAGTTACTTAATGTAAGTTCTAATAGATCAATTAAGTAATTAGTTAAAAAGAAAATTGAAAGATAATTCCTGTTTTATGTTTAAAAATTAAAAATTGTCATATTCATTCCGTATCTTATACTCTAAGCTACTTTTTGATAAAATGTATTTTAATTTTATTTCTTTTTCCATGCATCTTATTAACCTCAGTACGTGACTCTACTCATTCATTTGGAAACAATTTCATATGTCTCACAGGGATATAATGTGTTTATAAATGTAGATTTTTCTGACTTTGATCAGACAATTGGGAGTCGGTCGAGAACAAAACATACGTTTTATTGGCTCATTTGTCATGCTTAATTTATGTGAGCATTGGTGCATCTCATAAAGATTGGACTTTAGGTGTACATAGAGCATAATAAAGATTAGACCAGACTAGCCAATATGCTTGGACTCTTTTGGCTAGTCTGATCTAGGGCAAAATTAGATATTAACCGGTCAATTTGATCCGCTTAACCCAACTAAATAATTTAATTGGGTCAAGCAAAATTAGATATTAGCCGGTCAATTTGGTCCGCTTAACCAACTAAATAATTTAATTGGGTGATAACATGATCCCTATGGCTATAGCAACAACAATGACCATGTAGTTTATCGCCATCCACTCGTCCATCGACCAGCCGGATGGTAATCAAGAGAATGTAGGGATGTACTAATCTCTGAAGAATTTTAATATTATTTTGTGCAAAAGTATAAGAAGTCAAGCCTATTGCATTGTAAGACTAAATCGCCCAACATGATTGTCCATTTATAATAGCCATTGAATACACTGGACCATCTATTTTTTTTTTTTATTTGGGTAAGTATGAGGTCAATTATCTTGACTACAATAATTCACAATTACTCCTAGCTTAAATTGGATCGTTTGGTGCTTTACGAAGTTCCAAAAAAATTTCTCTGAACTTTGAGTTCAGTAAAAAACACACTCACAATACGAAATTATAAACCTAAATGAAAATGATTGTGACCTTCTGTACTAAAAAAAGACGGTTTTTTTTATATACTTTTCTTTTCTATCATCCATTATAAATGGAAGCACAAATATCTGGATGAATCCAATTGCTGCACCCCATGAGGCACCTTGACAATGTCTTCTTTTTTCTTTTTTCTTTTTTTTACTTCTGTGGTAGTTTAACATCCAAACGTGAGATGTAGCGTCGCTAATTGTCAGCTACTAACCATTCAAGTCCAAGCTCAATTCCTACGATCTCCCCCGTTACCCAACCCTGAGCATAAAATAACAGGAACACGTGAAATACAATCAATACATTGTTTTATACAAATCGTTCCTCTCAGATTAGCATCTCAGTGAAGAGAGAGAAGTTAGCAGGAGCAATGCAGAAACATTCTTCCCAAATATTCCCTTCGCATTTCATGATAATAATCTTTCAGTAAAAATATAACTCCTAGACAAGATATATTTCTCACTTTTAAGTGAGACAAACAAGTCAATTATGCACCTAGCTTCTATCAGATATACACAATACCAACTTCACCAATACCATACTTCAGCCCTTTCTAAAACCAGAGAGAAAAATAGAGAAATCACTTCAAGCGCTTTGCAAATACGAGGTGAAACCCCCGGCTCTCCGACTGGTTAAAGAAGGCCTCATAGTAACAATGGCTGTTTCATTGGCCCCTGCTTTAAGGGCAGCTCTCCCTGCTTCTAAGAAACGAGAAACAGCATCTTCGGCGTAGCGATTCGCTTCACCAACTGTCATGGTTTTACCCATGTCAGGATATGAATTGAGAACATGGTCTCCATTTAATTGAGAGGCAAGCTGAATAAGCTCGACCTGAAACTCTGTTAGCTTTGCATCTTCGTTGGGGTCTTTGTGTCGAAGAGATTGAACAACTTCCGGTAATTTTTCTGCAAATTAGGGAAGATTTTCAGAAAGAGATCAAACTGAAATGCTAAATTTCAAGTTTTCAGTGGGAGGAGTGAGAGAGAGATGAAAATATATTCAGATTCTGGGAAAGCTTCTTCCATATGTGTCTGTTCCTATAACAGATAAATCCCCGAATCCTGGCATGCTAATCCAATTCGAATTTTGGAGAAAGAAATTGTGGGAGGAGAGGGCGTTTGGGTGGGGGACGGTGGGGGGCACGGGGGAGAGCACTAATTTGGGCAATTCCTGCAAATTATTTGAAGATATTTGGCTGAACCCATGCACATTGAAATTCAGCTTTTTCCAAAATAAATAAGAGATGGAATTATAAGTAGCACAAATTTAGGTTGGTAGTGCTGCAAATTATGCCAGTGCATGTAAAAGACAAACCCTCGCTCGCTCGCAAAGTTTCACAAAATTTGGCCAAAAATCCCTGCCTCCTGATCCAAGAAACAGCAGAGTAGGGAAAGGATACATAGAGCGAGAGAGCGATCTCCCCACTCTTGGTTGTCGTTTGTGCAAGGCATACCACAAGTACTACAAGACAAACCCAAGCATCCTAAAATTCAATTAGAGAGAGAGAGAGAGGGAGAAAAGGGCCGTCACTTGGTGCGACGGTAAAAGGCTCGGGTAGCCAGCGCAAGAGCACGGGTTTGAGTCCTGAGAGCGGCCACTTTGTGCACAAAAAGCCAAAGATTAGGACTGTTTCCAGCCCACCCCTCCCAGGACCCTGCGTGGACGGGATTAACAACTGGTTACAGCCCTTTAAAGAGGGAGAGAGAGAAATCAGTGATTAGAGTTCTGCAAACTATGCACAAATTTAGCAAAAAGCAAACCTCTAAAATTCATGCCTTCTTTTCTGGTGGGTGGGGTGCCGTGAGGAGAGGTCGTGATCATTATTTTTGAAAAATGCATCTTAAAGGAGATAGGGTAACACCACACAAACCTGGACAATCCTCCCGAGGAGTATCACGGATGTAGAAATACTTCTCAAATGAGCCCGCCCAAGCATCTCGTTTTGTTAGGAAATTGGATTTAAGATTAAAAAGCTTCTTCACTGTCGCAGGTACAGAAGAATGCTCATAGTGTGAATATGGGGTTGGACCTTCGGGTTCATGGATCACTGCAATAATCAACAACATATTTTCAGCACCGCTTACTATTACAAAATCAACCTTCATTAGTCCCTTGAAGTGATAAGCAGCATTTCCTTACAAGATCAGGTCTACAAAGAGCATAACCTTAATGTCATTGGCAAATAAATAACACTAAAATGAGACCATCTGTCCAATTTTTAAGAAGGTATTCTTTTATACATGTCTTTAACAAGAGTACAGCTGCAAACAAAGTCACTAAAATGAAACAACGTGCAGCTCCACACATAAAAACGTAGTGTGTGTGTGTGCGAGTATGTGGGGAAGGGGGGGGAGGAGAGAGAGAGAGAAAGAGAGATTTTTTCAAATCAGCACTATTGTAGAAACATATGTGAACGGAGTGCATGTGTGAGCACATTTTGGTAAGATATCTCAGTAAGGCAACTGAAACAACGAATAAATAAATTGGGAAATTCGCCTAAAATAAATAGATCAATGCTAAAGACATAAACTTGCCAAATAAAACCTAACTTGCTGGCATGATGCTAGGCATATATCTTGCTTAAAAAATAAAAAAAATAGAAAAAGACATTGAAAGCATAGTTTGTGAACTCATATCCCAACCTGATTCAGCAGTCACTGGGTCTGGATGACCTCAGCGAAATGGGTTGACCAGGCAGGTCAGGTAATGATTTTTTTTATGCCAAACTAATGTCATTAAATAAAAGAGTACAATAAAAAGCTACTTTCCTCCTTGGTTCATCTTCCATGAGAGACGCATGGAGAGAATGGGTGAAAGTTGAAAGGGCAGCAGAGATGGAGGGAATGCCAGAGAGGTATTAGGGTTTAAGGCACTAAGCCAAATAGGGCTTTCTGTGTGAGTAAGAAAGAGAGAATGAAGTTGAATTTCATAGTTTAGATTTAATCCACGGAGTTGTTTAATTTTAAGTTATTCAAAATTATAAAATGTTAACAATTAGGCTTCCTAGTTATTTAATATAAGTATTAAAACAAGTTTTAAATTAACTCAAACCAAATTTTTTTATTTCAAATTAACATTTTTTAGGGAAAAAAGGACACTGGTAGACTTGTTCGACCAGGCAAGACCCAACTGCATAGATCAGGTTCCAAGTCGAGCAGGTCATATCACAAAATTGATTGATGCCCTTTTTTGACCTGATTTGTCAACTGTTCATGTGTGAGTTCCAGGCCTACCTCGTGAGTTACAAACTATGAGCTAAGCAAGATAAAATAGAAAAGTGCTCATTTGAAAGGAATGTTTCTCCAAACTTGTCAGGTTGCTTTGACTGAGTGGAACCTCACCAAATTATGGATCAAATTTGGTATCCTATCAGATTGCTATGACATCTCTTGTAGCTCACTGTTTGCCTAACCTACTCTATCTCCCTCCCACAATAAAAATATATCCTTTCTTTCACAAGTCCAAATCTTGAAACCAGAGCATCAGTGAGGCTGAGGCAGATAGTATATTGACTAATTTGAATATTTCAGTGATCTGTCACACGGTAAGCAAGCTACTCACCAAAGAGTTTTTGTCGCCAGAATTCAAATTGGATGTTTGTGAAGATATATACTCTAACATGATGCTAATGACTCAGTATCTTTATACTCTAATGGGACTTTCAACAAAACCTGAAAGATAAATTTCCCTTCTAGGTTTCTGGTAATTTGACTGAGGAATCCTCTCTCAACTGTCACCATCGTCTATATTCTACAGGCTACAGCCTAAAAGTAAATAAGGGCATCACAGTAAGAAATCTTGAACTAAGCAAACATAAACTTTGGACCCACAAACGGAAGTCGTGTAATACTCGAGAGGTGCACCTAGATCTAGATTAGAGCGTAACAAAATAAAGTTAGTATACATTACCATTGAAAAATGCTAAAGTGATATATTAGGGCCAACTCCAGAGTCCTCTGAATGTCACATCTTAGCCCTCTATTCAATCAATTATAGGGACTCAAGCCTCCTTTAGCTTAAAGAAGAGGCAAGGTCGACAGTTTTAGAAGCAGAACTAAACCTATCATTCATAACTTAAGCACGTAACAAAAATCAGTAAAACAAGCAACATATGTATTAGCCACCATACCCCGATCTTGAATTTATTGACACTGCTCCATCAAACTTTGGAAAATCTCAACAGAAAGTCCCTAACGAGATCCCCAAAATATTAGCCTGGCCAGCTTACGCACTCTTCTCGAACTTAATATTGGATTGTGGGATCTCACTTGGTTACTTTGTCTAATAAAATTATGTTGTCATGCACTTAGAACTAATACAAAATATAACTCCATTACTCCAACCAATAAGACTTAAGGTTGGACATACCCAAAGCACGATATCCTAGAATGCACTTAAAGGAGGGGTTTATATCATGAAATTCTCAGATTTGAAACTAAACCTACACTACATAACCTATCATGTGACATTAATTTTCTTTTCTAGATAATAAATGACAAATTCAATGAGATAACAGTGAACAAATAAGGGAAAAGACACAGGTGACAAACATGAAAGAGCGCAGGACTCAGCAAGAATCGAAGCAAAAATAATTTGCAAAAAAATATCCATCCCAGCCTATATACATCAAAATACCCAGAACATATAGAGAACTTTTCATACTTTCATTAGTTTAACAAAGAAAAGCCATGGCACACATAAACCCGGTCCTCCTATTTTCATGCCTATTGAGCAAAAAAGCAAAAAGCACAACCAATCTATCCTCCTCATACTCCTGTTCCAACCAAATGAGAAGCCACAAACAAAAAATTCTCAATGACAAGGAAGCAATTAGATGTAGAAGCACAGAACCTACACAATCACAAGTTCAGAGCCCCAAATAAGAAATTTTCCATGTAACAAATTCCTATAATAAATAATTTCTTATATGGGTTATTGATACCAACTACCAAGCAACAAAAACTTGCAGACTCCGAATATGACAAAATCATGACCGAACTGAACAAAAAACCAGGCCATATTAGGCAAAAACAAGTATAATCGATGCTGATAATGGTGACAATGATGATAATACTTATGTAGGGTTCTTGATACCAATCAACAAACAGTTACAAACTCCCAATGCCACACAAAACTTAAAAAGGACAAAGGTTATAACAGGCAAAAGCAAGCATATTCACTGATGGATAGTAATGATAATGATGATGATAATGATGATGATGAATATCATACTAACCAGTGCCCTTCTCAATCCATGGAGAAATCAAAAGAGTAGGGACACGAACACCCAACCGATCGAACTTGAAGTAGAACGGTTCAGGCCCGATGATACCATCAGGATTAGGCACCTCCTTAACAGGGGTTGGAACATGGTCATAGAACCCGCCATGCTCATCATATGTTATCAATAACATCATCTCCTTCCATTGAGGGCTAGCCCTCAAGGTCTCATAAATTTCCTTAACAAACTTTTGCCCCTCTGCAATATCATGAGATGGGTGGTCATCATTTGCCGGGAAACCCACCACATCAAAATACTTCTGCTCTATAACCACATAATTGGGCAGAATTCCAAGCATAGCGTGCAATTTGAAGCTCAAACTGTATTGATGAAACTTGGTCACATACTTGAGCTTCCTCAAGCTATTATAGAAGAGGGTGGGTGGAATATTTTGATAATAAATCCCAAAACTCAAGCCATTTTCATCAAGAGAATCAAATATGGTTTTTTGAGGAAACCCATGAACCAAATCCTTCCTTACATTGCTTGAAGCTCCATGGGAAGTTGCAGAGTGCACGTAGAATCGATTTGGCTGAGTAGAAGTAGGGACCGAGCAAAACCACCTATCAAAAACTGTGAATTCTTTGGCCAAGGTTGAATAAACAGGCAAAACCTCTGGTCTGAAACCACTCATAACAGTCTTAGCCATGCCGTCCTCCATTGTTGCAGCTTGTTGGACAAAACCACTCATGGTGGGTTCAAGAGTTGTGTCATTAGAGCCAAAGATTTGCTCTCTAATTGCCTGAAAAGAGTGACCAGGGTCAGGGTCTACAAACTCAGCATCGTTGGAGACTACAATTTCAGGGGATTTTTCATCGAAAACAGAGAGACGGTTGGATTCGTTACCATGGAGACCATCAATTTCAGGCAACTGGGACTTTAGCCAGCCTAACATGTGGTCGAAAGAGCGGTTTTCCATGACCACAACGACTATCGTTTTAATGGGGCCATTGATTTTGTGGTGGCGCTTTTGCAGGGCCAAAGAGGAGGGGAAGAGGAGGAGGTGGAGGAGGACAGAGAGGAGGACAACTTGCCTAAAAACCATACTGGCGTGGCCGGAACTTAGAGAGAGAGAGAGAGAGAGAGAGAATTCTGAAGGGGCTGACTACCCCTTGTAGAGAAGGCCAATAAGAGATGGTGAGGCTCTAATGGAGCATAGTAAGGGGGGAAGGGGAATATTCAATGAAGAGAGAGAAAGAGAGATGACAAAAGAGAGAGAGAGGGTTCTGCAGTGGGGCTAAGGAAAGAGACAGAGATAGGGAAGAGGGTTCTGAGTGGAGCAGAGAAAATAGAGAGAGAGAGAGAGAGAGGAAGGGAGAGGAGAGTGACGAAGTAAAGTAAAAGTTCGGTTAGGAGAGAGAGAGGAGGGGGCTTGAACCGGAAGTTTTTGACAGAGATATCAGAGCGCAATTCAGGTAGAGGAGAGAGATTAACCGCAAAAATTTTAGAGAGATGATATATCGGAAGAGAGAGAAAGGGATACAGACGTGAAATTTGGAAAAAGGAAAAGTGATCAAACCTTCAAGTTAGAGAGCGATAAACACCAAACTCGGAAGCTATCGGAAGTTAGAGAGAGAGAGATTAAACCCTTCGAGAGAATCAGAGGACAGGTGTAGAGAGAGAAATCACGAGAAAGATGAAAGATAAAGCAACACTGAGTGGGGTTAAATCTTGAGTAGTGCGAAAAACAAGAGAGAGAGAGAGAGAGAGAGGAGAACAAACGGAAAGAGAAAAACAAGAGAGAGAAAGGTAGAGAGAGAAAGAGGTGGGTCCTGATGGAGAATAAGAGGAGCAAGAGGCGGGCGTATTTATGAAGGAACGCACAGACACGCAACCCAACAATTCGAACATTTTGCTCATAAATTCAATGAAAATAAAGGAATAGCTACTTTAAAAAGAAGAGAGAGATAGACTGAAGATTAGAAAGAGGATTTTAGAATTTTGCTCGAAAAAGAGATCAATTGAGGTTTTAGAGAGAGAAATATATAGATATTTTAAAGAGAGAAAGAGATGAATATTTTTAGAGAGAAAAAGAGGACGAAAACCAGATGAATAGATATTTTAGAGAGAGAAAGAGACATGGATATTTTTAAAGAGGAAAAGAGGAGCAAACGTGTTTGTCCAAGAGCCAAGTTCCCTTGAATCCCATGAAGTGAACATAGAGCGATATTATTACATGAAAGGGAAGGTACGAAAATAAGGGAAAATGAAGGTTATACTTTTGTGTAAGGAGGTTACAGTCAACTTTAATATTTGGATATAAAAATGGGCGACTGTGATTGTCTTATTTGTTCGGACTGCAATATAAGCCGTAGGGTCCCAATCGGGTTGGAATTGGTTGATCCGATAAAATACAAGGGTCCAAGTCTAAGTCATTTGGACCCGACTAGGTCTGAGTTTGGCTTAAGACCTAACCCCACACGTTGATATCTTTAGTCGATAGATTTCACATGTGACTACTATAATAGTGAACTCCGTATAAAAATTGCATGGTAGTTTAGTATGGAGTCCTATAAATAAAAATGTGTGTTTTGTAGGAGGTTGACGTTCTAAATAATTAAAATAAGGTGCACCTTCAAATAGTGTTGAAATTTCAATATTGAAAACATTTGTGATAGCCTAAAATTTTGTTTTCCTCTCTAATTAGAAAATTTAAAGCTTGAAAAATAGTGTAGATCGAACATATCTATAAACATTTGAAAATCTTGAAATTTGACGATCCAAAAAATGCATTACAAGATGCACTATTTTCATGACTTGAAATCCATTTTTTCTCTGTCCATCCATCTTGAGGTCAAAAATATCAATTTGAATAACTTTTTTAGCATCGAAAGAGTTCTTCCGGTGAATTTTTGACATACACCTTGATTTTATTGTTTCGGGTCGTGCCCTTATATAAACTTTTTCCTAAATAAAATATCAGAATCATGACTAAGAATTTCTAGATGCATTCCACATTGTCCAATATAATTGAACGGAAAATATATTAGGCCAACCATAATAGCATGCATGGGCTCCAATGCACCAAACACTTTCCTTTTCTTTTATCATGAAAATTAAAGGTTATCTATATTAATGTCCAGTTTTGAGTGGTTTTTTTGTAAGCATATCAATTGCTTTCTTATGAAGTAGGAATAATATTTAAAAAAAAATAAAAATAGTGCGCTACATTATTGATTTCTACTCCTGTTTGGGCTAAAAAACAAACATATCGGTTCGTCAAGGATTTGAAGTTTGTCATAAAATACCCAAATAAGCTAACATAATCATTCTTTGGATTTGATTGTGTTAGGCGGGCAACAAACATAAAACTTTATCAAAATCAATTATAAATCCCTATAATAAATAATTCATGATTCATACTTTTAGCATCCTTAAAAAAACTTTCCGTTTTTCAATAAATGAAAATATTAAATTGCGATGGATCGCTCCATCAAAATACCCAGTTATAATGATGTTCTTGAAATGTATTGCTGGGAGATAATTTAGGATCACAAGATATATAATTTCAGGAAAAAAAAAACAAACAGTACTTATCAACAAAAGATTAGTTATTCATTGTCTAAGGCATGACTCTTTCTTTTTATCAACAAAAGATTAGTTATTCATTGTCTAAGGCATGACTCTTTCTTTCTCTCTCTATTATAGCTGTTGAATAAACTTCAAACCCATTTAACAAAAAAAAAAAAAGAAGAGAGTGAGAATAAACTTTAAACGTACACCACGTCTCTTTCATGCTTTTGGTGACTTTCATGCACTTTTGCAGAAACAGCCGAAAGATCATATTTTTCTGCAGGAGTATAATGTACATTTACTTCATCGGATAATACTTTTAACACTCAATTTCCTGGACATAAGCTCTTCAAGTCAGTTACCAATAAACAAAGGCAGAATAAATAAATGGAAAAAATTTATATAAGGTTGCAACCTTATAATGTAGAATTACGGATGCACCTCAAAAATCCATTGGAAAAGGTAGTTTTAATGTTGAAAAACTCTTTAATTGATCATCTCAACATCGAGATGTATGATCATGAAAAATAAAAAAGATTTTAAGTCTCAAAAATAGTGTATTTTACAATATATTATCTACACCGTTCATTTTCAAGATTTTTATATGTTTATAGATCTACTTTATTTTAACTATTTATAATTAAATATAAAAATAAATTTTAAAATAATCTTAAAAACATTTTACATTAAAATTATATGCCATGATAAATTTTGAAGGTGCACCTTACGTCTATAGCTACGGATGCACCCTAAATAAATTGATGCACACTTTGTATTTGCTTGAGGAACATAGAATCTTAGAATTGCACGAAGATCAACCTTTTTTATTTGTTTTTACAGTCAAATCTGAATTTGAGAAACTCAATATCATTTTTTATTATTTTTGAATTGCAATTAATAAATCAAAATACTTTTTTACATTGATATTTTAAAGTGGATTTAAAATTTCATATTAAAGGAATCCTATGTCCTTTTCTCGAGGGATCAAATATAGTAATCAGCGCCAGCAGGAGCAGTCTCTTATGACCAAATGGAAAACAGTAGTCGTAAGACTTTTTAAGGTGAAGTTTGGGCGCATATTCATCACCAAAAAGCGAATATACGTGCGCGGTCCCCACCTCTTTCCCCCCGCCTACGTTAGGGGCAGAGGTGGAACCTAGGTTGGGCAAATCCATGAACCCAAGGGGTGAATCCAATTGGGTCTGGATTTAGACTTGAAAGGTTCATTTGACCTTTACCCAATATAGGCTAGGTTTATTTTAGATTTTGTTGGGTCGACCCCAACCCAATATATATTGGTATAAATATATTTTAATAGTAATATTTAGGGAAATTATCGTTAATATATCTTAATTTTAATAAAATTAGAAAAAAAAAAAACCCCAAACTTTCCAAAACTTCTCCCACACCCTTTTTCTTAATTTTGGCAATTTGGTAGTTTTTTTACCGTAAAAACATTGAGTACCGTAATACCTTGAAAATATATTACAATACTTAGAATATTGTAATACTGTAATACTTTAATAGGTATCATTTTATACGGTACTGTAATACTTTAATAGGTATTATTTTATATGGTATTTTAAATATCGTAATAACTTCAATTAGCATTACGGTACTTTAAGTGCTGTCAAAACTAATACGGCACTTCAAATGCCATAAAACCTTTTCTCTTTATTATATTTATCTATTTTATCTTCTTTTTTTTATGTTTATCTCTTATTTTTTTCTCTCATTCTATTTAATATTTATCTCTTCATTCTCTCTAAAAATAAATTTATCTCTTATTTCTATCTTTAAATCTTTTCTCTCCCTGGATATTTGGCCTTGTCCAAATTGGCTCGTAGAGTAAGATTGTAGAGAAAGAACGAAGAGATAAAAATAAATGAGAGAGAAATAAGATATAAATATAAAAAAAAATTAGAGAGAAATAATTGATAAGAATTAGTGATGAAAGAGATATGTATAAACAGGATGAGAAAAGGGTTTACGGGCATTTTAAATGGTGTAAACGCTTTTTATATTTATCTATTTCATCTCTATTTTTTTTATGTTGATCTATTATTCTATCTCTATGTTATACGGCATTTAAAATGCTGTAAACCTTTTTCAAATGCCATAAACCCTTTTCTCATAGAGATAGAAAGAATATATGAACATAAAAAAATTAGAGATGAAATAGATAAATAGAAAAAGTACGCCATTTAAAATGCTCTAAACCATTTTCTCATTTTGTTTATATTTGTCTATTTCATCTCTAATTCTTTTTATGTTTATCATTTTTTTTTCTTTCATATTTATCTCTTCCTTCTCTCTTATTTTTTTTTATCTTTTATTTCTCTCTCTATAATCTTACTCTACGAGTCAATTTGGACGCGGCCAAATATCCCAGTTAGGGAGAGAAAAGATTTAGAGAGAGAAAAAAGCGAAAAAAAAATTAGAGTAAAAGAAGAGATAAATATTAAAAAAATGATAGAGAAATAAAAGATAAGCATACAAAAAATAGAGATAAAATAAATACATATAATAAAGAGAAAAGATTGCCATATAACATGGGTTGGTTTTAAGGTGGTAAAATGGGTTTTAGTTTTTACGGTAATTGACTTCCATATTTTTTATGGTACTTAAAGTACCGTAATGCTCATTGAAGTTATTGGTAATATATTTTCAAGGTACTACAGCACTCGAAGTACTGTAATTCTATAATTCTATCAATATCTTTACGGTAGAAAGACTACTATAAAGGGAATTTTCGTCAAAAAAACATAAAAATTAAAAAAAAGGGTGTAGGCGAGGTTTTGGGAAGTTTAAAGTT